GACTGATCACGAGGCATTCATGGTATTTCCGATCGAACATGCCATCAGAAATGTTGCATGAGCATCCTTTATCGCGGATCGAGCGTTTTTTTTAAAGAAGACCTCTTGAAATATGTATTCTTTCGGATCGAAATCGAATGAATTCATTCCTTTTCCTCATTCTCGCTATGATTCATCCACACAGTCATACCTTCCGTCCACTTTATTCACTCTGAATTTTTTTTAGCTATTTCTCTTTATTCCATTCCATTCCTCTCGAAAATCTCAAGGACAACAAAGGTGCAGGGGTTTGTGGAGCTTCACAGCGTTCATGCAGCACGCAACAACGATTTCTGTCCAATCGAACTGGCTAATCATTCTATTGTGATCACTTAGTTGCTTCAAGATTCGCAAAGGAAACAAAAAGAATCACTCACGATAAACAATCAACGATCTCGATGAATATCCGTCATTTTTATTCCGAAATGCCGATAAAACCCAATCTCGAGATTGTTTAGTGTTTGTTGGCTTGCCTCCTATAGGTGTTATGGGTCACATTAAAGAGCCAATGCCTCACTAGCCAAATGCCCAATCTTCCATCCATGTAACACCTATAAGAGCCGGCCTTGAAATTTATGTAATAGAGTTATCGATGCTACGCATTTTGCCCCTCAAACACCATAAAAGCAGGTGTGAATACTTCCAATCTGTTGGTTGTCAACGGTATCAAATCAGAATGACCTTCACTTTTGAAGCAAACGCCAGATTATATAGATTCTGGAGAGGAAATTCTATCGATTAGGCGCGTTGTCCTGAAAGGGTTCCCACGTTTTCTCGAAAATGATGCTTTCAGATTCAGGGGTCCTTCACAGTCTCGAGCCCAGGATAATGATTGTGGCGGAGTGGTGGTACTTCAGTTTTTTCATTCTGAGTACTGCACCTTACGACAGATTTCTAAAACATGAGGAAAAAAGTAATGAACACTGTACTGCACTGTGCATAGGTCTCATCGATCCACTCGTGAGCAATGAGAAAAGCTCTGCTGCGCGTTACAGTTTGCCATTCCTCTCTATCAACACTTACTCCCTTTCAATCTTGCGCTGTACCAGTGACATCTTTTGTAATATCTCCTTTTGATCGTCTGAAGAACCCATTTCTTGAACACCGTGATTTCCGACAGAATCCTTTCCGTGACTTCTGATCGATGGAAGTGAAGTTGTCAGGTCAAACTGTTCCCCAGTGAGCGAGGGCAGGGAGGAACCTTCACGCTTCTGTTTCAGTCCCTGGACGAGCCTCTAGAAGGTTTGGGCACATTTCGTGTTATTGTCCCCCACAATATGGAACTTGACAGGACCTTTACAAAACGGCAAGCTTCGAAACCCGGGATGAAGAGTTTGAAGGCATTTGCCCGATAATCTGGGAGCATCCAACGAGGAATAATGAAAGCGAGTGTCGAGAATAGTGCGATGATGGCGAGCACGAGATCACGAGAGCCGGCATTTCTATACAGACAAATACTTCAAAAAAGGGAAAGAATCTGGGTTGGACGAGAACAAGACATGGCGTGGAAAGAATGTTTGCACGACTCTCGCGTATGTGCCATTGCATACAGCTGACTACAGTAAGCATAAATGTATTTTACTGTCGCCGCTTAACAGAAATGCCTCGATGATCAGCTGATTGCATGTTCAAGGTGTGGTCCCAGTGCGATTAGCCTCCCATAGCCTCGAAAACTCGTCCGAGATCTCGTCCAACTTCCGGTGTGGGAGTCGGTTTTAGGACCTTTATTAATATTTTATATATTGTACATATATATATATATATATTCCATTTCTCCAACCGGTAGCATCCTTTGCGCTGCCTCACGAGCCACAGGGTAATCCTAAGGAGAAATCCAGGAACTATTTTATCGTGAGCTATGCCTTTAAGGTGGCGCACCATACGTATGATACGAGGATCAAATCCCGAAATAATACTTGCTAAACCATTACCTCCATGCTTCCAGAGTCACGCATCTATAACGGATTCATCATGCGTTGCCTCCCAGGGACTGCATTCTCAGTATATTTGGTACAATTTTCAATCCTATGGCATCTGAGGGGTCAAATTAATTCAGCAAAAGGGACAAATTTTCCCGCTATTCTCATTCATTAATTCTAGCAACAGATTCCCGCATCTACTTGGATTCCATGCATTCTCGTCCAAGCCCACATGAGAAGCGCAATGCAAAATGTTGCCATTAATGTAGGCATTTTCAGAATTTTAAGCATATACATATATTTAAGCTTCACTTTGCGTTGGAAGCCAATGCCAAACAAATACAGCGACTGCATTTCCAGCTGACTATTCCTTATCCTCTTATAGTTAGTTATTGGAATGTGAGACCAAAACATCGTCCATACATACATCATCATCCATGCTGGAGAGACAGTTTTCATTTCATACCACATTGATTCTATGAATCGCCCGAACTCAGTGGTTCGCTTCTAACCATTGTTCTTTTCCCACTCCCCTCTTCGACAACAAATGTGCGCCTGTACAATCACTCCAACTAACTTCCACGTTGGCCGTTAAGCCAGACTACTACTGAGTTATCCATACAGGTGGAGCTATCGCTATCCTACGTACTGAATGACTCAGCCAAGCTGCGGATTTGCCAACTTCACCAAGAATTGTCGTGGGCCAGGGAGGCACTCGGTAATGTACTGCGGAAAATGATTCGAATACTATCGCAATATTCCACTCCCGGCAAGTAAATATCCAAGGAGGGAGTTTGAGTGATTAGTAGGAGTGATCAAGTTTCTCGGTGGATACATAAAAGATAGGGAAGAAGTTTTCGGAGTTGATCAATTTCGTTTTTTTTGGATTGCGCCCCGCATTCGACTTCTACGACTACGACCATTCGTAAGCGTAATGACGTTTGGATTGTTTGTTTGCCTCTTCTGGTGTCCAGCTAATGTAGGAATCGTTTTTTCCTCCTCTTAGACGAATCTGGTACAAATTAACCAACTCGAGAAGTGTAGAAGGCTTGGTTGGCCTGAGCAAATACCGTTCCGATACCGGGGAGAGGACACAAAAAGGCTAAAGGATAAAGTCTCTAAGCTTTCATCAATATCGTCTGATGGATGCGCCCCCATCCGGCTTCGGCTTTCATTCAGGATCGTAGTGGCGTACTGATACGATTGTGGCCTATACAATGAATCGAGGTGTCCAGCCCATGAATCCGAGGAGCGCTTTTATCCTCCCAAAGGAGTCTGGTACCAATTAACCGATCCTGCAGAGAGGGAGTTTCCTATAGATACTGCACAATGTGCAGGACCACTTCAAGAAGCCTTTTCGGTCCTCATACTGACGATATCAGATATTGCCTGACTGAGAAATTACTCTTTCCAACAAGCATTTCATAATTTCCAAAATTAGATCAGAAAAGCATTACTGTATTCAACCCATAGAACCACTGCCTCTCAGATAACATTAGTATTCCATATATTTATTCCGATTCTCAATTTCCCAGTACCTCCGCCACCCTAGTTCAGGTCCACTTCTGTAGCAGTGGCCGAACTGACGGCATTAGGAATTCTCGGTTATCTTTTATAAACCCCCATGTCCTTCCGTCTTCGTCATTCGTAGAACCGTCCTCTTTGCTTGCCAATCGTATCAAAATTGTATTAATTAGGGGAAACTGCAGTCCTTATCCATCCGAATGACTCAGCCCTGTTCCAGAGGAATTGCGTTTCGATACCGATTGCACTATGCGAATTCCCGGGATGTGATTCTTGGATCAAATGAGCAGCAACAGCCTTGTCTTGCCATCAAAAACCGTAATTCGAACTGATATGTCTTACCAATGGGGCCTTGTCCGTAGGCACATATTCACATCCTCATATCCCTCATCTCCTCACTTTTACCCCGAGCAGCTGGGAGCTATACGCGTAAACGTGGGCGGCGCCGCGAGCTGTTTCTGAACTGAATAGATCCGTTTCGTGCCCTTCCATTCGGTGCCAATATGAAATAGCGGAAGGCTCACGGAGAATTTCCTTGACGGCTGGTTGCGTTTTCAACGGTGCTGCAGATTTGTAATCTCGACGAGAGATAACACATGTGTGGGCGATGGAGAGATGGGTGAGAAATGAGCGTCGACCCTCCGACCAGAGTGTAAGAGCTGCCTGCTGCTGTTGTCGTCGGCTTTGGTGCTTCGATCCCACACTCGGTTACGTAACGGATATGAGCTACCTTTCACCACTACCACACTATCCTACGCCAAGGTAACGTCTATTTACTATGTTTTATATCTATGAAGAACTTCAATCTCCACGTGGGAGCTATATATGATCAACAACCATCCAACAGGACGGGGGCTACTATTGGATGAGGTTGTCGAATGTGCCACTTAGCTACCGTAGTCCGCTTGTCTTGAAAGACTTATAATCAAGATACATCGCCACATATTACGACTTTATGGAGTCGTTTGTTTAGTTCCTTCGGGTCGTTGGCTGGTTAGGGTGTGGGTGGAGTTGTTTGTGAGATCTCCAAATAACTAAAGGCACCACCCACCGAACCAGATGAATTCTAACCAACAGCTGTTTTGTGATATTTTATTAACCTTGAGAATAGCTGTGATCTCGACGTTTAATTTTTTTTTTGTTTTGTGGAACGATTCGTGGAAAGATACTGTAATACAAATCAATAATCNATATTACGACTTTATGGAGTCGTTTGTTTAGTTCCTTCGGGTCTTTGGCTGGTTAGGGTGTGGGTGGAGTTGTTTGCGAGATCTCCAAATAACCAAAGGCACCACCCACCTAACCAGATGAATTCTAACCAACAGCTGTTTTGTGACATTTTATTAACCTTGAGAATAGCTGTGATCTCGACGTTTAATTTTCTTTGTTTTGTGGAACGATTCGTGGAAATATACTGTAATACAAATCGATAATCGATTAAGATATGCATCCTTTCAGACTTACTCGAGCCCGCTCATACGTGCACGTGCCAGCACCCTTTCCATTTGACGACGAAGTATGGGACCCCCGCCACCGCCTCCTCCACCCCCTCCACTCCTTCCCGTAAGTGATTATCGATTTATTGACTTACCAAAAAAAGGAATTTTCAGATTTAAGAAGACTTTAATAAAAGTTTTTGTTTGTTGTTCCGAAGACTTTCGCAGTTAGAACTACTCGAAACATATCCAATGACTTAATAAAAAAATATTAGTTCCTCGATCAATAAAGAACTGACAAGCAGCTGGAGAGCATTTTAATCCTACGCCAGGCAACTGCCTTCTAAAAAAAGCATTTAGAGAAAATATGACGAAGGCGAACCTCTCCCAGTATTTCTCCTATTAGAAAACCAATAAATCTCCAAAATTGATCCATAAATCGCTCACAACGGATCAATAAATCAATCGCACAAGCGTTGGGCACTATGAACGACAATTTTTTTCCGATCACTACTGATAATTATCGTGATAGAATAATGTCTTTTAGTCAGCGACACTACCATCTGGCGGGTGGAAGGCAGCGCAGACACAGCGACGTAACAACAATTCCATACCTGGTAAATCAATATATCGATCGTTATCGATTCATTGTACTTTACTGTTCATTATGAAAGTTGAATATTTTCAGCGTCGTCCGACAAAACCCGTCCCACTGTGGACAGTGCGGCATTACAGGTAAATAGTAGACCTAGGATAGGAAATACGAACTAATCGATAATTTGTTTATTGATCGTATTAGTCTATACAATGTCATATTTAGCACGCAGCCGCTCGCTTGCGCAAGACCGGCTACTACGAACAGATTCGAGGTAGGTGAAGTTGTGGTTAGGTTGGAATAGCTTTAGAAATTGGAAACGGTATCGGATTCATGGGATCGTCGAAGAGGTCCCGAAAGTTACGTTCGAGTTCATAGTTTTCTGCTCAGAGCAGGTGAAAATAAAAAAGCTTTAAGTTTGTATTAGTATCTTCTCCATGACATGAGAGGGGTTTAGCCAAAATTAAGCCTCAGTTGAGTAGAGTTACACCTGTGTACCATAGCTATTTATACTGAAATCAGTCCCACCATCAGAGGGTTTTCATGAAGAAGAGAACGTCGCCTTCCATCCTCGCTAATCATAGAAGTTAGATATGATTATTTATCATTAATATGGCAATGATTTTAAATGCAATAGGTTGGTTTTATGTAATATTCATTTGAAATCCTACGTTCAACTGTAAAATAATTATTTAAAATGTAGGTGACGTCCCGAATTTATCCGATGGACGAGTGGACGGATCGAATCAACGACTGCCTGACGGAAATCGGCCGTACGGCTCGCAGCTCAATAAGTTGGAACGCGATTCGCCCAGAGAACAGGTTGGTCAAAGCGATTGAATTTACCAAAGGCTATTTTCATCGATTGACTTCACCCGATCGATTGAACTTGGGTCGTCAGGTAAAGCGAACTACATAAGTGGTGCGGCAGTGGAGATGTTGAATGAGTGGAACGAACGATGAAAAACTGTTCGAGAGGTAGCATGAGTCATTGAGTGGCAACAAATAAACATGAATTACCTCAGTAATCAGGATAAATATTACACTGTGACGGCAAATCCAAAAAACGGATTGGGTACTGAGCATTTTGATCAATGTGGTATCAGTACAAAAACTAATGGGAGCAAATTAATGATCAGAGTAATGTTCTATCTATCCTTTATTTACTCAGAGGCCCAGTTCACAAAAAAGGTTCATGAGACTTCTAACTGGGGTGAATCTAACTGACCTCCAGTGTACCATATGAGGCTCCGTCGGTAAGAGCAACCTCCTGTATAGGGCATTATGAGGGCTAAAGACCGCTTTAGCGAAGTCTTTACTCAATGGTGGACGAGTTTCAACAGCGTTGTAAAGGGTGCACCATCTACCAGGAGCACCGAAGTTGGCAACTAGGCATGACCCATAGCGACAGAGAATATCAATCATAGGGGTTTTTGTCTGTACAAAGCGGGCTCATTGTGCGATCGCAACAGCTGAAGTCTCGTCAAGATTTCCCCTAGCATGCCATTTCCTAACAGTAACCTCGTGCGAACTCCTACTCACACTACATACTTTCAAGAACCCTTAGATTTTATGAATTCAGCGGATTTTATCGCTTTGTTCACCACCGATGCACTATTCTCTCACCCCCCCCCCCCCCCCNCCCCCCCCCCCCTTGCTTGAAAAAACATTTTTCTGCGCATGGCTTAAAATACGGTATGTTGCGTGAAAAAATCAGTAATCGATTGCAAATTGGTAAAAACATATTGAAGGATAAAGGATAAAGCTTTTGGGGTTAATCAATCCCGTCTGAGGGGTGCGCCCCCGTATTCGAATTCCATTCAGAATCGTAGTGGCGTAATGGGTGCGTATATGGCCTATACAATGATTTGCGGTGACCAGCCGATGTACAAGTCAGTACTTTTATCTTCCCAGACAAGTCTGGTAGCAATTGACCGACCCAGTAGGGAAAGAAGGCTTTGTTGGCTTGGGTGGATATCGACCCGGGATTCAAACTCCTGACCATGCGTGTGAGATAGTGCGCCACTTGCCACTACACCACCTCTGTCCAAAGGCATATTAAGAATATGAATACTCGGACGTTACCATAGTAGGGGAAGCAGGTAGGAGCAAAAGAAAAGCTATTTCAGTGATGGCATAAGCTTAAAAATACTTTCAGGCTTACGAAGCCTTCCTTTGCTTCGGGTCGGTCAGTTGAAGTCACTATCACTTCTGGGAATAAAATCATTGTAGTGTATATTAGCTAGCTTCTGTAGATCATGTTAAATCGCTAAGGTTTTGAATGAATGTCGAATGCCTGGCGCATTCCGGAGCGAGACTGATCAAAGCTGCTAGCACCCCATTATTTATCACCCCTAAAGAGCATGTAATGAGCGCAATTTGATGATACTGGTCTGAACTGCAACCTAGCCAATAACTCAACAATCAACATTAAGGTTCATGTTGCGCCCGCTCATTCCTACCACACTGATTCGGTCAGCAACATTCGTGGAAGTTCCAATTCGAGCGTAAAACCTCAAGTGAGTTGGATTGTTTCGAAAGTTTTGCACCACTCGACAACCATACGATTTTCAGAGCACGGTCGAACCGATGTTGCCGTCCAGCTTTGATGCCGTGCCAAAAAATCTTTACCAAACATTTAATAGCCCATCTTCTAAAGCATTCATTGAAAATAAGCTTGAACCGCAACCGCCGCCAACATCGTATCGACCTATGTCGCCTACTTATCAAACATACACTGCCCCCATACGTACAGTACAACATTCTCCACACAGAAACGTTTTTAACAGTTCCCCTCGGCCCTTCACCCCAACCCATCATGAGAATCAATCATCCTATGTTTCATCTTATCACCATGAACCAGTAGCATATGCCCCTCCTCATTATGACAGCAAGCCGTATGCACCACGTCCATACAGTCCACGATCGCATTCGGTAGAATATCCGCAACATCATGAGAACAACAACTATAACTACCAGACTTATATAAAAGAGACCAGTTACCGTGAAGAGCAGCAGCAGAAAACCCGTCCCTCAAAAGTGCAATGGGAAACGCCCTATGTGCGGTGAGTTTTAGCAGTTTTTCAGCCAAACATTTATTCGTGCCATTCACCAATTTAACTTGCCATTTCCCCATTTTCCGAATTTCGGTGTACATACAATACCGTCATCCTTTCAGTTTCCATTATTCATGTTTCCCCAAACCTTGGTTATTCTATATCTATGCCTAACAACCTCTCCACACTCGAGATGGCAACAAATATGGCATCCCTTGAATTCAAGCAGGTGTGCCGGTATGTCCATTCGGCGTTAAACTCTACCTCTTTCGATCGAAAAAGGTGGAGTTTATCATAGGATGTACATACTGGATCATCCGATTGAATTCAAGGCGACGCCTATGCGATATTTCATACGAAAACTTCAAAGAACGTCATTGATGAAGAAAGAGGTGAAGATTGTTGGCTATCGTTCTCGGTTTCCGTGGAATGAGTTAGCTGTGAATTTGTAGAGCGGTCTTCCTTTTCTTGCGCTACGTATTCCACCCATCTTTCCCGAGAAGTTCTTCCTGGCGGCCATCTCTCTTTCTGATCTCCGCATTCTTCTTTCCTATCTTCGCAAAAGAATATTTTCGTCGTCTCTGCGATTCCGAACGAAATTTCGATACATGGCGCATTCTGTAATGCACGCCAATGTTGATCCCTTCATCCTTCACTTTTAAAGCAAAATCCAGCAAAATTACACATGACTTCTACCTGATGAAAAAAATTATCTTACAGAAACGAAATTCAGATCCTCATCGCCTATCCTCGATCCGCATGCTCGCATTCGTGAATTCGCTACTAGCACCTATGTGGAGGTCAGTCGCACAATATTTATTTATTCATTTATTTTGAATTATTTATTTATACAATAAATAAAAACGTTGAATTAAAGAAATGCTCCTGGTAGTTCCTATGTATTACTCAACTCCTTTATCCTTACTATATATAAACCGCAAATGTCCGTTTGTCTGTTTGTCTGTAACACTATCTTATATGATGCCGCTTGGAAATCAACTGGAACAGCTCAGACAGGTTGGAACAAGTGGGGAATGAGCCGAACTCCTTGGGTGCACGTAACTTAAGCTAGCTTTGCCCACCGGGGCGGAGTGTCCCACTAGGGGAGAGGCGTGCGCGAAAGCTGTGGTTCATCGAAATCTCTAATTCCTTTTCCCCTGGGCCTAGAGTATTCAAATTTAGCAGAGATGTAGGCGGCAAGATGGGAAAAGTAATGGTAGGTGATAGGGGTAGGCTCCGCCCACTGGGGCTGAAAAATATTAGATTTGGACCTAGAGCGTTCAAATTTGGTAGAGATATAGGTGGCTAGATGGGAAAAGTAATGGTGGGTGACAGGTGTTGACTCCGCCCACTGAGGGCGGGGCTTCCCCAAAAATAGTGAATTTGGACCTGAGGCGTCCAAATTCGATAGAGATGTAGGCGGCAAGATAGAAAAACTAATGGCAGGTGACTCTACTCACCGGGGGCGGTGTTTGCATGAAAATAGTAAATGTGGACCTGCCTATCATGATTTTTGCATGGAATTTCATCAAGCATTATAGTGCCCACGAGATCGTCGATTGGTAGGCTATCAAATGCCTACTGCGACGGGTGCGGACAAATTTCAAAGTGTAAATAAACTCCCATTTCGTTTCCAGTGAAATACAGGCATTCCACAATGGTAAGGGGTAAATAAGATATTAATGATTCTGAGGTCTTTTTTGATTTTTTNTTCCACAATGGTAAGGGGTAAATAAGATATTAATGATTCTGAGGTCTTTTTTGATTTTTTGGATTGTCTCATTAGTATATAGATAAACGTATGTAAATGGTTGCCAAATGCAGTTTGCTAGAAATGCGCGCTCACAATGAACGGCTTATGACACTATTACTTGGGGTGGGAAAACGGTACTGCCCAGTTTTTTGGAAGAGGGTGGTTACTGAGTTGCCAAGACGATTACGCTTCAGGTTATCTTCGAGTCCATTTATCGAAGGTCGTGAAACGCGCATGGTATTATGCGCAGCTCAACTGGTTTTCAAATAAGAGGTTAAATATTATTGAGAACTTTAGCAAGGCTGTTCACTGACAATCAAACAATCAATCCAAGACCTTTGCCAAAATTCCAGCCTTTAATCCAAATAATACAAAAATCATTATTCCAGCCAGAACCACCAAGAAGTCAAGAATATGTTCATACAGTGAGGCGTGAAACCCATACTACTCGAAGTGTTCCGAACGACTTTGCTACGACACTCCGTAATCAGGGTATGTGATGCAGTATGATTTCAGAATGGGAAGCATGTCGCTGAAGGTGGAAAGGATTTGGGGCTATTCTGCCAGCAGAAGTACTGAAGTGATATAGCACAGGGAGAAAAGAATTCCATTTCTTCGAATGCTTAGTTTCTGTTAAGTGAAAACAAAGATCATGCTACCCTGACTTTAACTCCTTTCTTTTGCAACCTGTGAGTGGTCACTTGTTGATGCAACCCATTGCCCACAAGAAAAGGTGGAGTTAGGGTAAAGAGGCGTCAGCTAGTATACAGACAAATCCACCATGACACGGGATTCGGGCAACACTAGGTTACTTCTGTCGAGAAAAATTAAAATTCCTTGTAGATGAATGGAAAGTTGCATCCCCTTCAAATGTTATGCCTGGGGGATCGGTGAGACAACCATCTTGAAAGGGGAATACCTCAACATCAAATTTTCTACTCTCCTAGGTCTCACTAATGTGGTATGTGTGGACCGTATTGAAATTGGACTTTTACAGGTCTTACTGCTTCACAACGCGAGGCCAATCAGCATCAAGCAAGCACTTTACGTCGTGATCATCTGCCTTTCAATGCAGATTACATTTACAAGGTTAGTTTCACATGAAGCCACTACTCACAAACCGCTCCAAAAATTTTCATTGTCGACTTCGACGCCCAGTCTTGCCCAGTCTTCATGTAATTTCCCGTACCCCTTTTCTATTAAAGACCACTTTTTGTCAAACTATATGGTTCGGAAAATAACTACTTCATATTACTCTCCCAGGGCTTATAATTTGTTACTTCTTGGGGCTTCAGATAGATTTGCTGTTATGATATTACGAGTCATCTGAATTCAACTTGAACCCACTTCAACGGGAAGGAATAGCCGCCGAGAAACGTCAAGGCGATGAATGCGGCAAAATGAATTGCTTAGAAATTTATCAATTCACCCACTACCCGTAACCTTTGTCGTCGTTCTATCTCTTGAGCACAACATCTGAAGTTTAAGAACTTGTCCACGGTTTATACTTGGCTTGACGCAAGACGATGTGTGGCACGGGAGCGCGCCGCGTGCGCTTGCGTCGCGGTCCTGAGCGATTGTTTTTGTCGACTTTCAAATGCAATGAGGTCCTCATAATTGTATAACCATTTCTATGAAGCAACGGAAAACGAGCTCTGAAACTTCTGGAGGCAGATGACAATGAGCTAGGAGCCAACGTTGTCACAGATTTCATTCGTTTAATTCATATCCGTCACGTTTTTCAGCTCGCATCCTAACTGTCTCTTCTGCTTTATCTTTATTTTCTTTGAAGAGTAGTACCCGTTCTTCCATAATGTAACCCTACCAAGGGTGGCGTACTTTGCACCCAAATTCCCACGGTCGCACGCTTTCCCGCAGCAACGGTTTCGCGACAATTATCGGAATCACCTACTGGAAACTCGAATCTTCGCCTTACACTGTGCACTCCAACACTCGGCAAGTGCCACAAGTCGGGCAGCCGCTTCCGTTTGGACATATGAACGCACACACCCGTACCAGGATCATCTGCAACAATTCTGATTGGAAGCTAGCAATGGGGAATTCTCCCACAAGGAGACAAGTGATAAAGAGACGCACATTTCCCCTACAAGTCGTTATAATATGTCCGAGAAATGTTTTGATTATCCCTAAATGAACGGAAAATTGAGGTGGTAAGTGGAATTGACCAAACCTTCTTAATGCGCCATGCTTCTGACCNATTTCCCCTACAAATCGTTATAATATGTCCGAGAAATGTTTTAATTATCCCTAAATGAACGGAAAATTGAGGTGGTAAGTGGAATTGACCAAACCTTCTTAATGCGCCATGCTTCTGACCTCCGTAGGAAATTACAAAGACAGTTATGGGTATCTATAATATTATGATGTAGTGTTACACTAATGGACCAAGCTTAAAAATCCGTAATCAAAAATGTTGAAAAGTGTGTACTTTTTATCGATCCACATCGACACCAACACAGTCTACAGATCCCACCAGCATGATTGTAGGACTGAGCTCCTGCATTGTGCGAATGCAGAAGAGCAGTTCTACTCTCGCTTCATCTCCAAGCAGATTCGACAGGGACTTTAGTCAGAGTCAGCTGGAATAGCTGACCAGAGTTATGATCAGTGAAGGCCATTCTGTTGAAAGAGTTGATAGAAAAGACTCCACTCAAATGAAAGGCTGGTAGGCAAACTACTCAATTTAAACTAGTACACATCCATCTGATGGCAACAGCACATCCTTCCGTATGACAGCCGATTACAGCCCTTCCGTATGGCAGCCGATTACTGCAATTCGTCACTCATTTTAATGGTATCGTTTGAGATGATTGACGTCGCCCTTCGGGGCTAACAATGTCTTGGGCGGTAGAAATGTTCTCAACTACCGCAGTAGTCGTATGTGCGTCCTAGTTGCAGGCTGTCGCCCAAAGGATTCCGTTTCTTGTAATACTTTAGTTGTTGACGGTAACCTCCAATACGGCTCCGGAAGACTTTATACCGCTTGAGCTCACACTCCTACTACGAAGGCCTCTGATATTCTTCGTCTGATTCACTCTCTTGTGCTCCATTTTCCATAACTACAGCAACAAACAGAACCTATCCCAAGCAAAATTCAAATTTCGACAGGAAAGCTTTTTTCAAGATGAGAAGAAAAACCTCGCTCGCTCCGTTCCCATGAGGTATATTTCTGTGGCGCCCAAAGGCCTCCATATAGCCTTGAATGACTTTTGTGTCGAATGAAAACTTCACAAAAACTTCCTTCTTCTTCTTCCAGGAAACATTTCAGAGCTTCTCTTTTCATCACTTCAGTGCCCTTCTAAATTTGTCTTCTCTCTTATATGACATCAGGGCTTCACTAGAGAGGTTTCCTAGGTCGATGGCCATGAGCCGGAATACGCAGTATCTTCGAATTGTCTATTACATTTTGAGACATGTAGGATTATAAAGAGACTTGTGGAGCCTCTCAATGTTCACTTCGACGCCTTCACCCTTCCAAAAATTGCTATAAACTAGAAAACCTTCAGGGATTAACGATTAGAATTTACTGAACCCTTCATGTTCCCAAATGTCTTCGAGAAGCGACGGGCCTAGGCGCAGGCGGGGTTGTCGCCCAATCCACTTCATCCAAAGAACAAAGACAATTCATGATGTGCATTATTCTCACTTCCTCTTTTGGTCCTGCCTGCTTGACCATCCAATTTTTACGGCGGTTCAAAGTTTTGTCAGAGTATTCCAGTACTTCTTACTATTCATCGCTATCCTACAATCCTGAAACTATTGTCGGCTGAATAATTTCTTGCAGTTCCTAAAAAATTCTCCAGTGAGAGTGTTTCCCAAGAACGCATCTCAGAGCTGAAATTTTTGATTAAATTCTTGATTCTTTGATCTATTCATTTTGTGAGAGGGTGTTCCGAGCTCTGAGAAGGAAATCGAAAGCTTCAAACTCAAAGACAAAGATGTTTCGGTGGACTATGATAAATTTAAGATTAAGTAACATATTTTTCGAGGACAACCATGAATCGGACCTCTATTCAAAACTGGACCGGAGAAAAGATAAAATTGCCTTTTAGGCGACAACAGTAAGGTGCTGTTTGCATTCATGCACAATTCGCTTTACTCTCCCTGACAACTCTACTGTCAACTAATTAACCTCAGAGGAATGAGAGGCTTGGCTGGCCTGAGCTGGTATCGAGCCGAGACTGGATTTCATCTATTTATATGCGCTAGAGCGCTTCTGAGTATGCCCACCGAGACGTCAAAAAAATGAAAAGCTTTGAAAAATGCGCTTCTCGACCAAGAATCTTNGAGCCTGAGTGTTTATGTCCACGATTCTATTTCTCCGAAGGCTTACTGCCCTACTGACAGATCCATCATACTCGCTCTGCAAATCTTCACTCGCATGTGGCACTACTTGTAATTGGCCCTTGGGGATATGAAAGCACTACTTGAATTTTTTCAATTTAGCAGCGTCAGCCACATCAGTACAAGTGTGATACAGCAAGTGCTTCCTGGAAATTAAGCCTTTTCATCTGGTTTAGGAAAAAAAAGATGGATGAGCTAATTATTACAAAAGTCTTCACTAATGCATACGGTAAAAGAAAGCAGGGCTGAAAGCCTAGCTCATTAATTAGGCACGTACGCGTTATTTTTGCTGATTATAATAGCTGTATACTCGGAGGCCGACTACTCAGCTCGGCCTATTGATGCCTATACCGAATAATTCATAATGAACCAAACGTGAGTGCTGATTGATCGATACGTATTTAAACAACTGCAGCTGATGCTGGCATATTTTACTCCCATTTCTTGTGAAACCCCCGAAGAGCAAAAATTGTCTGAAACGTAGCTGGAAACTTAGACCCGTCTAATATTTCTACCAGACCTGTAGGAACGATTTGCTGAAGTACGACCTTCCCAATTAATGAGACTTATGGCAGTTAATATAAATTATGAGCAGTAATTATGGAATAATCAAAAATAAAAATAAAAACAAAGTTTTCACAAAAAAATATTAGTGATAAAATTAGTCAATAATTATAGAAATTGAAGACCTTGAAAATTCTACTTTTTGAAAGTAATTTTTAACTTTCGTTTTTGAAACCCACAGAATTTTCTCAAACAAATGAAACGTTTGCAGTTACCCCATAACACATATTGCAAGAGTAAGCCAGCAAATGAATGCACCGCTGTGATTTTGACAAGAGCACAAGTGCACGGCAATTTTCAGGGGCTTGACTAAGCTCGAAGCCTTTCTCACTCATAGTTTTTATCCAGATTGAGCGATTAATAATTTTTTCCCAGCCGTCAACTATTATACAACTTCCGCCTCACATTTCCGACATAGCCTCCCGTCATGAAATGGCTGCACCCGGCAACATATTACGCTTTTCTTTGTACATTCTTAAAATTACTCATACAAATCGTTATTTACTATAACCGTCAGCTATCACCCCTACAACTGAATCGGGTGAGATTTTTTTATCGATTTCCTATCTTTGTGCCTCAAGGAGGCGGAAGGTAGTAGTTTGGTAGGCGGCGTCGTAAATGCGCATGCTGTTCAGGCACCAATCCTGCTCGGGACGTAACAATTCCCTGTCCAGAGAGAGCGTATCTTGATCCTAGGAATGTCTGACAGAATGAAAACACGAATTTGTTCATGATCGAACCCCTGCTCAGTGTTTGCATCAAAACGCATTCAGATGCTATTCATTAATGGTAGTCAAACGTGTGGCGCACTCTAAATGAGGGACCCTAGCTAGTGAAAACTCAAAAGGCCAGCACACAGCAAAACGTGTACTTTTGAGTCTTGGAGCTAGCCCCCCGCCCCCACTAAGTCTGCCCCCACTGAGTAAATGCTTGATCGCATGCTTTTTCCGAGTGGAAATCGATGGCATGGCGCATTCCAAGTAGATTGAGTGGAGCTGAACATTAAACCCAAAATCCTTATGGCGGCAGTACCACCGTTAAGGGGAGACCGTCGAGCTGGCCGCTCCCATCACAAGATGGTAACTTTTTAGGTCTATTAGCAATCGAATACGTTTCTTGGTGTAAAATAAGAAGAGGAAATTCAAGTTACTCAAAGTAAGAATAAATTCAATAAAATCAAGAAAGCTTTCAAATTTAAGCTAGGAACATAAATATGCGCCTGAAATATGAGTTGTATGAGAAGCGGAGTAGGGCCTCGCGAGCGTCCCTATTCCCACAGTCAAGCACAGTGTGGTTTAGTAACGCAGGGGAAGATTGAAGTGTTCTAAGGTTTTCCCGAGCAACTTTGGATCCCGAGTTAGGTAAGGTTCCCTGTATACCACTG